CCCCCCCCCCCCCCCCCCCCCCCAAGAGGCAGGAAGTGCCCGAACAGGCCAAAGGGGGTGGGGTGGGCCTTTCTCTAGGGAAGCCTCTCCTAGCAAACGCAGCAGCGGCTCTTCCGGGCAGCTGGAGCCCTCAGGACAAAGAGCAGCAGCCAGGCTGGCTTTTTAATCCCTGGCTCTGGTGCAGGGAGGGCAGCTGCTCTGGTGGCAGGTCACCCAGCAGAGGGGAGGGCTGCAGGCCGGGGAATGCAGAGAGATCCCTGCCTGGACAAGGAACCGGGCAGCTCCCAGGTTTCTGGGCATCCACCTCTGCAGCCCAAAACATCCTTTGCTAAGAAGGCGACCCCCCGCCCCCCCCCCCCCTTATTGTGGGAAGATTGGCCACAAGATGAGGGATGTGGGCCTGATCTCTTGTTCTTGGGGTGGGGGGGACACAACAAAGGGAGAAGGAAGCCCGGGGGGGGCTCCCTCTCAGCCAGAAGTGGCCCCTGTGCCCTTGGCTGCGAATGTCAGCAATCAGACATGGCTGTTTCCTCAAGATTTGCAATAGCTTTTGGACAACCCGCCCCGCCCCCCATGGAGTGTATAGAGAAGACCTCCAACCCCCACCCCCCAATCCAAGCCCTGGAGGAGGGAGTTGCTTTTCCCTCTGCCCGGTGCCTGCAGCAGGAGCCACTAAGTGCCTTGGCGGGTGGCGGGTCAGGGACCGGGCAGCCCAGGGTGGGCGAGGCCCGGGGCAGCCGCTGGGCCTTCCCGCTCTTGCCAGATTTCTCGTCCTGCTGTGTTCCAAGAGCCTGCTTGGCCTTTGAGCCCTCCCTTCGCTTCCCTGGCGCTGGGCAAAGGAGGCCATGGGTGGGGTTGGCAGAGATGCCAAGGTTGGTGGAAACCTGATCTTGTAACCTTATCCTGCTGTTTTTGTATCAGCCCGATAATCCCCTCCACCAGAGCCTCTCCCATCCCATCTTGGGAGGCGCCGGCTGCGGCCCTGGATCTCTCGACGTTAGAAAACAGGACACCGGCGCAGCCAAAGGGGTTGCTGGGCATGTGGGGAGCGCTCTCCATTGCCAGCGTAGACAGCAGGGGGGGCTCTGCTCTCGGCTGGGCATCTCCTGCTGGGGTGCAAAGAGAGGCTCTGCGACAGGGGCTCTGATGGGCCGCTTGGCTGAAACTGCTCCCGCGGGGGAGGCCCCTGGAGCGGGGAAGGGCTCCAAGCGGGGCAGGGGGTGGGGCGGGGGCTACTCATCCTTTTCACCTTCCTGACCACCCCCCTGCCCACTTTCCTTCTGCAGCGGCCCTGCAGGGTCCTGGCATCTCAGGCTCTTCTGCAGAAGCCTCGGGTGGCATTGCTGAGCACCGCAGGCAGCTCAGCCTACATGGCATGCCTGACACAGACGAGAGACAGGAGGCTTTGCCAGCAGCCTCCGGACCACCTGCAGGGATGGGCACCCATCCTCCCCAGCTGTCCCAGGCCAGTCCACTGGCTTGGGGGTCCCCAGTGGCCGGCAGGCGGGAAGGGCCCCTCTGCCCGGCGGTTCTCCCAAGGACCCCGTGGGGTGCAGGGCATGCTCTGCCCTGAGGCCCAAGGTGAGGGGTGGCCTGGCAGCCGCTCTTGTCCCAGGGAGAAAGTGTTACGCAAGCAGGTGATGCGGCGATTAGAGACTGAAAGCCACCTCAACTCCAACGCCCAGCCTGCCTTCGGAGCCGCCCTGAGGGATCAGGTTCTCCCAAGAGGGGAGACGCCTTCCTCTTGGTACCTGTACCCAGGGTATAAAAGCAGGCACGGGAGGCAGGCACCTGTGCCCGCTGGCTCGGTCCAAGCCGCCTCCTGGCCAGGCCAGCCAGGGTTTCAGCCATGGAAGCCAGCGCAGCCACCCTTCTCCTCCTGGCTCTCTGCCTTGCCTGCCTCCTGCTGCTCCGAGGAGGAGGAGGACGATGGGGCACCAAGGCACGCCTGCCTCCCGGACCGCGGCCCTTGCCCTTCATCGGCAACCTGCCTCACCTGGATACCAAGAACATGATCAAGTCTCTGCTGCAGGTAAGCTCAGCCTTCTGGGTCCTGGAAGGCGGCGGGGGCCAAGGCAACTCCTGGGGGTGGGGCATCGCACTGCCCGCTCCAAGACCTCCTCTCCTTGGGTGCCCCAGCTCAGCAGGCAGTACGGCTCGCTCTTCACCATCCACTTGGGGTCCCGGCCGGTGGTGGTGCTCTGTGGGTACCAGGTGGTGAAGGAGGCCCTGGTGGACCGAGGCGAGGAGTTCAGTGGCCGCGGAGACATGCCGGTCTTGTTCCGATTCACTCAGGGGAACGGTGAGCCCGGGTGGATGCAGAGCTTTCCTCGGGGTTTTCCTCGGGCTGCCCTAGGATGGGCGGGGAGGAGGCCAGTCGGCAGGCTCCAAGCAGACCGTTGCCAGGCCAGCCTTTCTCCAGGACCAAGTGTGTGTGTGTGTGTGTGTCGGGGGTGTGTGTGTTGGGGGGGTGTCCATCCCAGTCCAGGGAGGGGCAGCCGGCCCTTTCTTGCTTGTGGACATGGGGTGCTCTCCAGCTGTCCACCTGCTGACCCTCCGGCTGCTCCGTTGCTGCTGCTGGGGCTTTGATTCCTCTGCCCCCCCCACCCCCCCTCCAGGCGTCGCCTTCTCCAACGGGGAGAAGTGGAAGGTCCTGAGGCGCTTTGCCATCCAGACCTTGCGGGACTTCGGCATGGGCAAGCGCAGCATTGAGGAGCGGATCCAGGAGGAGGCCCAGTGCCTGGTGAAGGAGCTGGCCAAGAGGACAGGTGCGTGGGGCTGCCGAGGGGGGCCCGGGGGGGGGGCACTTCGACCAGCTGAGTTGCGCCTTCACTTCCGGGGGGGGGGGACTTCGCTCCAGCAGCTGCTTAGGACGGGTATTTGCAGGCTTTAAGAAGGCTGATCGGTAAGGAGGGATCTAGCCCCCTGCTGGGAAGGCTCCGCCTGGCCCCAGGAAGGAGGAGCAGGAGGGGGGGGGTAAAAGAGCACAGGTGAGGATTATGATAATGAGGAGGAGGAGGAGAAGAGCAAAGTGGAAGAGCAGGACCAGAAACAGAGTTTCCCCTTGAACAGAATAACGGAGCCTCCTAGTCTGACCCCATCCCAATCTGACCATTTCAGAGAAACTATTGTCTCCAGTCTCTATTTCAACACCTCCAGTGCTGGAGCCTCCGGCCCTTCTGGGGGGAAGCCACTCCACTGGCTGGTTGTCCTCCCCGTCAGGTTGCTTCTCTCCTTCAGTAGTTCCACCTGTTGCTTGTCCTGCTTTCAGGCGCTTTGGAGGGCAGGTTGACGCCCCCCCCTCCTTTATGGCAGCCCCTCAAGTCTTGGAAGCCTGCTCTCCTGTCTCCCCGGCCCAGTTCCCGCAGCCGCTCTTCGTATGATTCCGTCTGCAGCCCCCTCATCCTCTTGGTTGCTCTTTCTGCACTTTTTCCAGAGCCTCAACGTCTTTTTTGTATCGTGGCAACCAAAATATTGCAAGTGTGGCCTTTTCACCGAGGCATCATAGAGTGGTGTGATCTCAGTTCTGTTCCTCTGCAGCCCAGGATAGCGCAGGCAGCTGCCCCCCACGGCTGACTCACGTTTAAGTGACCAAGAATCTTCTGGATCTTCTCTTGAGCCCCCCTTCTGTGGCGTGGGCTGCTCCTGGCAGTTAGTGCCATCAGTAAATGTGACCTTCCCCTTCTACCCCCTCGTCTAAATCGTTGAGGAAGATGTTGAGGAGTCCTGGGCCTAAGACAGGGCCTTGGGGTGCTCCGCTGCCTACTTCCCCCCGTGTAGAAGAAGAACCAGCACTGGGGGGGCGGGGGGGGGGGGCTCGCTGGCTAGCCTGCCCCTCAGGCCTTTCGCTTTTGGTGCTCCAGAGCCCTTTGACCCCACGTTCCTGCTGGGCTGCTCGGTCTCCAACATCATCTGCTCCATCGTCTTTGGAGATCGGTTTGACTACGAGGACCAGCATTTCCTGACCTTCATTGGGCTGATCAACGACAACTTCCGCCTCTTCAGCTCTCCTTGTGCCCAGGTGAGCGCCTGTTTGGGGGCGGGCCAGGAAGCAGCAGCCCCTCCACTGCCCCTCTGTCCCATCAGGGCCCCCGTGGAGCTTGGTGGCCCCGGCGGCTTCTACTACCGCCTTTCATCGTCCAAGTCCAAGCAGATATCAGGGCCCTGATCTCTCCTCAGCCTCCGGCGTCCCTTTCATGGCATCAGCCCAAAGGTGCTTTGGCTTGAAAGCGGAGTCAAAGAGGCCATCTCCATTAAGACTAAGAACAGCCCTCCCTCAACCGAAGGGGAGGGACAAGACACTGGCCCCCTCCTGTTTACCGCACCGTCCTTTCAGCAGTGCCAAAAAGGTTCCGCTCCCAGGTTCCCTCTGATTCAGGGACCCTGAGGGCACAAATGGGCCCCCGACAGAACTGAAGAAGCTTCTTGGATGAGAAGCGAAACAACTTCAGGAGAAAGCAAGCCCCAGCTGCCTGTTGAAAAAGCCCCTTTGGGACGATGCCACGAAAGTGAGGCCAAGGCAACCTTTGGTTCAGGTCTCCGTCTGGATCTGGGCCTTGCTGGCCTGTCTCAAAGCACATGCAAGAGGAGGGGGAGACCCCTGTGCCCCCCTCGCTTTCTCCTCTCCATGACCCCGGGCTGAAGAAGGGAGAGGCCCCCTCATTTTTGGCTGAGCCCCCTGAAGCGCTAACTCCGAGGGGAATTGGGATCGTGTGGTGGGAGGGGGTCCTGGTGCCCTTTGCCCCAACAGAGGGACTGGCCCAATTGCCTCCCACTTCCCACTCACCTCCCCCCCCCCCCCCCCCCCCCCCCCTTTGGTGGTCTCCATTTCCCATCCCGGATGGTTCTTTCTAGATGTACAACATTTTCCCTCACATCATGTATTACCTGCCTGGACCCCACAACCGGATATTTGCCAACTTTGAGAAGCTGCGGGTCCTGGTGAGGGAGATGGTCAAGGCCCACCAGGCCAGCCTGGACCCCAGCTGCCCACGCGACTTTATAGACTGCTTCCTCCTGAAGATGCAGCAGGTGAGAATGGGCTTTGTAGTCCCCTGCAGGGCTTCCGTGGCAGAGGGAGGGCAAGGTTGCTGCCTGTCAAATGCAGAGCGGTGGTCCCTGCAAGGGTGCAATTTGAGGAAGGGGAGAGACAGCAACGGGCTCCCGGCTGCCTCTGAAAGGGAGGGGGCTAAAGAGGAGGCTTACCTCCCCCCCCCTCCCCCACCAGCAGGGCAGGGAAGAGCCATAGCGGGTGGGGACTTAGCGGCCAGATGTGGCTCACTGGCAGCCCAGGTGCAACCTCCCATCCAGGGGATCGGCGCTCAGAGCTGCAGGGAAAATCCCCCCCCCACAAGGCAGCCCCTGCTTGCACCTTCTGCAGCCCTCCTGGGTGGAGCCCCTCCCACCCTGAAAAGGATGGCCTGGCCTGGCAGGGGAGGCGGCAGCCCACAGGCTCACCCCCCCGCCCCCGGGGACCCCTGTTCCTGCAGGAGAAGGAAGACCCCTGCAGCTTCTTCCACACCGACACTTTGATCATGACTACCCACAACCTCTTCTTTGCGGGCACCGAGACCATCAGCACCACCCTCCGCTACGCCATCCTCATCCTCATGAAGTTCCCCGAAGTGGCTGGTGAGGCTGAGAGGAGCCCCTCCCCCCCGGAAGGCCAGAGAGGCGGTTGCCAGTCGTGCCATCCAAGTGCCTGAGGCTGGCAAAGGTGGCCCCTCTCCGGCTTTGCCCAGCGGGCACCATTTAGGAAAATGGGGCATCAAGGAGAGAGGCCAGTGGGGGGACCCCGCTGGGCACTGTGCGGGTGGAGGGACCAGGGCCCCCAGAGCAGTCGGGCGGGGAACTCACCCCCCTCCCGTCTCCAGCCAAGGTGCAGGAGGAGATTGCAAAGGTCATTGGCCCCGAGCGCCTCCCCTCCATTGCTGACCGGGCGAGGATGCCCTACACGGATGCCGTGATCCACGAGGTCCAGAGGTTTGCAGACATCATCCCCATGGGCATCCCCCACGCCCTGACCAAGGACACCCATTTCCGGGGCTTCTTCTTTCCGGAGGTACCCGAGGGCAGCAGGCCGGAGCGGGCCGTGGGGTCTGGGGTCTGTCCGTGGGCTTTATCCCGGCTAAAGTCTCATCCTTTAGCTCCTCCTGGCTGCAGTTCTCCCCTTGGCAGGGATGCCAGCTGCTATCTCCTGCGGGGTGTCTGCGTGGGTTGAGTGATCCTCTCTGCAGGGCACAGGAGGGCGGTGAATTGGGTGGCATCAGGGCAGCTTTCTGGTTTCACATCTGTCTCTTTGACACGGATGGTACCAACAGAGGCGGCTGTTTGATGGATGCAAATTTTATTGGCGCCTGCATGCTGTTACTGGGTTTCTTTGTGGGACTGTTTTAAATTATTTTTATTAGCTAATCATTTCGGGTTTTTTGGTTATTTTCAACATTCTTGTTCACCACCCAGAGTTCCATTTGGTAAATGGGTGGCCATATTAATTTGTTGAGTCAACAAAAAAAAGTCTGCAGAGTCAGCTCAATGTAGCAGTTAAGACACTGGCTAGAAACAGGGAGAGCCGAGTTCTAATTCTGCCTTGGGCTTGGAGCCAGCTGGGTGACCCTGAACGATTCACTTTCTCCATGGCCCTAGGAAGGGAGAAAGGGAGGGAGGGACAAACCAATTTGAAAACCTTGCCGAGAACATGGAAGGCACCTGTGCAAGCAGTCTCCGAGCATCAGATGCGGGAGGCCACGAGCCAAGGGGGCCCCCTGCCCTCTGCTCCCCGGTTGCCGAGGGCGAGGAGAGCGGAGGAGGCAGCGCCGCCGCTCAGCGCCTGCCCGCCCTGCCTTCTTCCCTCCAGGGCACCAACGTCTGGCCTTTCTTCCACTCCGTGCACCAAGACCCCACCCAGTTCAAGGAGCCCGGCAGGTTCGACCCCGGGCACTTCCTGGACGAGGAGGGCGCCTTCCGCCGCTCCAACGCCTTCATGCCCTTCTCGGCGGGTGAGTGGCGGCGGCGGCGGCGGGGAGTGGGGGGGAGGCGGAGGCGGGCGCCCCGCCTGGGCCTGGGCCGCGCTCCTGGGCCCCGCTCAGCCGCCCCTCTGCCCCGCAGGGAAACGGCTGTGCCTGGGCGAGGCCTTGGCGCGCATGGAGCTCTTCCTCTTCCTGACCGTCCTCCTGCAGCGCTTCTCCTTCCAGCCCGGCTGCCCCCGCGACCGGCTCGACCTCTCGCCCCTCGCCAGCGGCATCGGGAACGTGCCTCGGCCCTACACCTGCCGCCCGCTGCCCCGCTGAGGCCGCCGGCCGCCCCTCTCTCTTGCGGCGGGGAGGGGGCTTCTTTCCTGGGCGCCGCTTCCTTCTTGCCCTTCCGTTGGCGAGCCCGCCCTCCGGGGCGGCTCTGCCCGGGGCTGCCGCCGCCGCTTCTGCAGCCCTTCGTCCGAGGAGAGGCGGCGTCGGGCTTCAGGGACTGCGGCGTCGGGGAACGGCGAGCGCCCAAGAGCCGCTTGGCGCCTTGAACTTGAATCCGACCGCAAAGCTTTGGCCGGGCCTCCCAGCGGCAAACAGAAAGGAAAGCCCAGCCGGAGCAAACACTACGGGGCCCGCAATCCACACCCGCCCAGCCCGGCCCTTGAGAACCACCCTCCAGGGCCTCTTGCAGGCCCGCTGGGTGAGGCTGAAACGGGAGAAGGCCGCAGAGGGACAGAAAGAGAAGTGCCACTATTGTGCCCAAATTAAATTGCATGCTTTTATGTTAAAACACCGACAGTTTTCAACACCTCCGAAAGATGCTTCCCTTGTACAAAAAGTGGGGCAGCCCCCCCACCCTTCCATCCTGCTCCTGTCCTTGACTTGGGGTTTGGGGGGGGGGGGCTTGCCTTGCAGAAATGGGCTGAGGGCGGTCAAGGGGCCTGGAATAATCCTGCTTTTCTAGAGATTCTTCTGCTCTGTTAATCAATTCCGGTGAGCTTTTATCTTTGAGAATTGTTTGTAAACTGTTTTGAGGGTGTTCGGGGATTGGAAAGTGGGGTACAAATATTCTGAATAAAATGCTAAGCAAGCGCACACAAGACCCGCCCCCCCTTCTGCATTCAGAACCAGGGCTGGGAATCTGGGTGGGATTCGCACACAGGCTGCCCCAAACTTCTCTTTCTCCAGCCTCTCCTGACTCCCAGCCCGCAAGACTTGAGGTGAGGGAAGCCAGGGCTGGCCCAACCGGGAGTAGCAAACTCATAAAGACCCTTCCGGTGGGGAGGAGGCCACCCGCTCTACTTTGGCCCACTGAGGAATCTGGCGGCTGAGCTGTGCAGATTGGCCTGTCTTCCCGAGGGGTGCCTGGACGAGCTTCTCCACCTCCCCAGCCCCCCCTTTCTGAAAGCCCCCCACCCCCCGGAAGTGCCTTCGGCCTCTGCCAGTTGGTAACCAGCCTGTTTGCTCAGCATCGTCACCCCTGGTGCTTCCCTAGAAAACATGGCATCAAGGGGGGGGGCTCCCTAATGCAGAACCTCCTCAGCCTTGCCAAGACCCCCGTGGCAGCCCCCAGCTCCGTCCCGGATCTGCCCATGAGGCTCCTGCCCTGAGGCCTCTTCTCCGGCACGAGGCAATGCCCGCTGGGGTGCCAGACGTAGCCCAGGGCCTGAGAGACAGCTGAGCCTGGCACCCCCTGGCACCTGGGCAAGCACCTCCAGAGGAGCCCCTGGGGAGCGGGCAGGCGGGCGACGGGTTGGCTGGGAAGGCCGGCAGCCCTGGGATGAGAGGGAAGTGGGGCAGCACCACAAAGGGAGGGGTGGGGACAATCTGGGAGGCGAGCAACCCACAGCAGCTGGGGCCCCCCCCGAGGGGGGGGCAGCTCTTCACTGGGGGAGGAGGCAGAGCTGGTAAGGCCGGGGAATGCTGCCCAGGCCGGTGGACTCGGGGGTGATGTCGATGGCTGCGGGCTCCGTCAGGGCTTTCAGCCGGAAGTTCTGCAGGATGGTGGTGAGGAAGAGGAAGAGCTCCATGTTGGCCAGGCCTTCGCCCAGGCACACCCGCTTGCCTGTGGGGGGGAGGGGAGAAGGCTTCCTTGGTGCCTCTGCCAGCAAAGACAGATGGGGGGGCAGCCTGGCACCCGCCCCCCAAATGCTTCTGCTCTTTCCAGAGCCCCTGGACTGCCCCCCGCCCTCCCCGCCGACCCTGCCCTGCTGGCTGAGCACCAGGAAGCGGCTCCCCTGATTGGCTCAGGCCGCTCCTGGGAGGGTGCCAGGAAGGAAGCGCATGGCCCCCGGGGCCCTTGCCAGCCTGGCCCCCTCCCTGCCTCCCAACGAGGCTCCTGCCCACCCTGGCGGGGCGGCCGCTTTCCCCGTTACCTGCTGAGAAAGCCAGGAAGGCCTCCCGCTTCCTGAACCGCCCGGCCTCATCCAGGAAGTGGGTCGGGTCGAAGACGTTGGGGTTCCTGAACTGCGTGGGGTCAGACTGGGAGGTGCAGAGCAAGGGGATGACGTTGAGGTCCTGGGGTTGAGGGGGGAAGGGGACAGCCTGGGTGAGCCCAGCTCTCCCCTACTGAGCAGGGAGCACAGTCGTCGCAGGCATGTGCAGAGTGCTTTCTGCTCGGGGCATCCTCGCCATTTGGGCTGGGAGGGAAGACCCGTGTGGGTCTCATTTGGGAAACCAGCCCAAGCCAAGCCCACCCAGCCCAGGTTCCCTACTTCGCCAACCTTGGGGAGGCTGTATCCCCGGAATTCGATGTCCTTTGTGACCGTGTGGGGCACCCCCATAGGGACGATGTTGGCGTAGCGCTGCATCTCGTGGATGACGGCGTCCGTGTAGGGCATCTGACTCCGGTCGTCCATGCAGGGGGCACGGTTGTCCCCAATGACCCGGTCGATCTCTTCGTGGAGCTTCTCTGCCGGAAGAACCCCAGAGTCCCCACGAGAGCCACCAAGGCAAGGGGAGGAGCCCCCCGAGGAGGGATTCCAAGGGGGCTGCCTGTCCTTCTGCCCTCTGCTCCCTCGCCTGTCCCCTCCCTCCATGTGTTTGGACGCTGCAGGGCCCCCCTCATCTGTGCCCTCCCCCAGTTTACCTTCCACCTCGGGGTGCCTCAGGAGGATGAGCAGCCCATAGCGCAGGGTGGAGCTGACCGTCTCAGTGCCAGCAAAGAAGAGGTTGACGGTGGTCTTTGCCATCGTGTCCTTGTTGAAGTGAGAAGTGGGGTTGCCCTTTTCCTGCAAGGCGGCAGAAACCAGCCGGTTTTGGTCCTTCTAAGGGAGCTGCAAAGATGCTCCTTGCTGGTTGAGAAACTGGGGCCAAGGGATCTTGCTGGCAGGTTTCAGAAATCGGAGCCCTCCCCGTTTGCCCACACAAAGGGCCTTCTCGAGCGGGGCCTGGGAAGCGAAGGCTCAGCCTGGCTGTCCCCCAACGGAGCTGCCCTCGAGGCCCAAGCAGAGCCAGCAGGGCTCCCCAGCCCTGGGTGCAAGACCCCCGTGGCCGCCTCCGAGGAGCCCTGGGCCTGCGGGTCCGGGAGAAAGCCCCTTCCCCTCTCGGCAGAGCCGGGCAGGGGCCACGGCGATACCTGCTGGATCTTGATGAGGAAGCAGTCGATAAAATCCCTGGGGGAGTTGGGGTCCAGGGTCTGCCTGTTCATCTCCAGCCGCTCGCCCACAAACTTGGCCAGCTTCAGGTAATTGGCGTAGATTCTCTGGTGGGGCCCTGGGACCCATCGCATGATGTTTGGGAAGACGAAGAGCAGCTGAGGGAGAAGGGAGAAGCTCTGCTCTGCTCTGCAAGGTCTCGGCTGCGCCCACCCGGCCCACCCAGCCAGAGGCCCCCGAGCCATGGAGGAAGCCCCTGCGAGGGGCTTCTCCAGCCCCCTCCCATGCTGCGCTGGCCATCAACCACCCACTGCAACGAGGCAGTTCAGGGATCACCCTTGGGGGAAGGGGCCCCCTGGCCACAGAAACAAGAGCCAGGCTCTCTCCCAGGGCAGCTACTTGGGGGTGGCAGCGAGGGGTCAGCTGAAGGTCCTGTGCCCAGCCCCGTCCTTTTTGGCCCTGGCACCACGGCCCTTGGCCTCCTTTGGCCTTCCCCCAGAAGAGAGCTCTGGCTCCTCCACCTCACTGCCCTTTGCTCTGCCTAAGCTGCTCCCTGGCACCAGCTCAGGTGGCAGCTTCAATATTGCATGTTCCTTGGGGGGCGGGTTGAGAGTAGGGGGCAGATTGGGATATAAGTCACCTAACAGGTATTTGGGTTGGAAATATATAAACCAGGATAGGCATTTTAAAACTGTATCTTTAAGAGAATGCTAAAATTGTAATTAGGTGTGGTTTCTCAAACGGCCATAAGATGGAGCCAGAAACCTGGGTTGTTTAGTTCCTGTTCTGGTGTTTCTGGAGTCTTAGTCTTAGTCTCAGAAGAGAGTGTGAGTCAGTCTCTGTTTCCTTCTGTTGGAAAGTATTGCCGTTCTTCTTAATTGACTGATATTCTTGGATTTGATGTAAGTCTGATACTGAACTGTTTTTGACACTGGACTTTGTTATTGGATTATCCCTGGACTAAAAACTGACTGGTTAAACCTGTGAATGACTTTGGACTGCTTGTTTTGAACTTTGCTTAAACCATTTCTGGAAGTAAAAACCTACACTTACTGTACAGTGTATCTGTGTGCTGTGTGTGTATTATTCAAACACTTCTCTCAAATACGTCTCCCTGTATGCGCTCATTCTCCTAACGGGGAATTACCTCAACAACCTCTCCCCATCTCCCTCCATTAAGGATTTTCAGCTGGGAGGAGGGCTTCCTGCAAGGGGGCACTGATGTGGCCTGGACTCTGCCCTCCTTGGATCACCCCAGCTATACTTGGCAGCCCCTGGCACTCCATTCCTGGCACAGGTGGGAGGATGGTCTGGAAACTTCCACTGGGCTGGCACAGAGCAGTTAAATGATTAGCCACTAGCTCGCCTGTACAAATGAAATCTGCTTTCCTTCCCAATTCGGGTCTGCCCGGTCCCCTGGGCCCCACAGCAGCTGCAGGTGGGAACCAGCCCACCCCACATCACGACAGCCAACTCTAAGCGGGGCTGAAGGGCCTGAGTTCCCAAGACATAAAATTAACCAGGGAAAACCTGGAAGAGCATTGCGGGGGGCATAATGGCAGACTTTAGGTACTTGGTGGAATTTGGACTTGGCCGCCTCCAGTTGCCAGGTCTTAGGACCAGTCCCTTCCTCCAGGTCAGGCTCACCTGTCCCCAGGTGGAGCTCATGAGCTTCCAGTTGCTGTTGATCAAGTCAAGCAAGGTCAGGAAGGCCTCATCTGTGTATTCGAACCGCTCTCCAAAGACGAGGGAGCAGATGATGTTGGAGCCGGCGCAGCTCAGGAAGAAGGTGGGGTCAAAGGGCTGGCCTGCGAGCCAAGAGGGGCAGAGGTGAGCCTGGGGGTATTTGGTAACGTTCCTCCAGTCCCCCCCCCGCCCCCCCCCCAGGGATCGCCTCATGCCATAGAGACCTTCTTAGGCACACTTCAGACGAACTGACTTAAATATGGTAATTGAATAATTCAGGGAAACAACTTGCATAACTGAAAGCTCTGCCAATCCTGTTTCCAACCTGCTCCGTGCCAGATGCCTCCAGAATCCCCAGAGGGCATCAGGTGAAGGAAAGGCCCGGCACACCTGGAGGACCACAGCCTGAGAATCGGCTGCACATCCTCCAGACTCCTCCAGGAAGGGAATTCTCGGAAAACGAGGCACTTTATATGCAGAAAAGGCCTGGAGACCTTCCAGAGCGAGGGAACTGGACCGGAGCCAGCTGCTCTAGTTGAGCAATCCTGAGCAAGCTCAGCCCCTTTTCCACCGGAGGGGATCTTGGCCTCCGTTGAAGTTGGGCTCCAGCAGGCGGGGTTTTCCAAGCCCCAGAGGAAGGCAGGCCCCCTGAAGGAACCAACCACAGGAGGGTGGCAGCCTCTCCTGTCTTCCACGTAGGAGCAAGAGAAGGGGAGGGTGGGGCGAGGCCCCTCCAGGCACCTTGGGTTTTGCGGAACTCGGCCACCAGGAACTGGGCCTCCTCCTTGATCCGCTCCTCCATGGACCGCTTCCCCATCCCAAAATTCTTCAGGGTCCCGATGGCAAACCTGCGGAGCTGCCTCCAGCGCTCCCCTGTCCCGTACACGATTCCTGGGGAGGGGAGGCAGAGACGGGACAACAGACCTGAGACCAGGTCCAGCCTGGCCCAGCCATAATTTTTCTCCTTCCCAGAAAGCCCCGCCGCTCCCCGCCACAAAGCTCTTCCCAGCCCAGGGCCTGGCAGCCCAGGAGACCCAGAGACAATTCCTTTCCCCCCTCCCCCTCCCCCTCCCCCCTCCTCTTGTCCTCCTTCCCCTCCTCTCCTTCCAGAGTCTCACCATTTCCTTTGCTCCACATCTGGACAGCAGGAAAGTCTCCGCGGCCACTGAACTCCTCGGCTTTGTCAATCAGGGCCTCCTTCAGCACTTGGTAGCCCGAAAGGACCACGCAGGGCCGAGAGCCCAGGTGGAAGGTGTACATGGGGCCGTAGGTCTTGCTGAGCTGGGAGAAGAGGAGGACCGGTCAGGGCAGGGATCCTTCCCGGGGGCGGGGAATGGGGGGCTCCCTTGGCAGGGAGCAAGAACCACCACCTCAGTCGGGATTTGGGGTCCCAAAGCCTCCGTTGAAGGCAGGGCAGCGCAGGGCAGGGCAGGCAGGGGTGCTTCATAAGACACTCTCGGTCCCCTGGGCTGCCCGCCTGGGGCACGTCCTTCCGGCTCAGCTTGGGCTGCTTGGTGGGGCCCAGCAGGCGCTTCCGCGGAGAGACGCTTGAGCTGCCCCATGTCCGGGTGCTGGTGCAACTGAGGGGGGCTTTGCTGCTTCAGGCCACGGCAGGAGCGGGTCAGCCTGGTGCCAGGCATTGCTCTGGCCTGGGAAGGGAAGACGGTCACTTCCCTGGGTTCGGGGAGATGCCGTTGACTCTGGGGGGGGGCACATTGGCCTCCGTTAACGGAAAGGAGGGCTGGTCCAGTCCCCCCCCCCCACTTGGTCTTGTCTCGCTTTTCTCTTCCATTTTGTTCCCCCAGCACCCGGGGTCTCTCTGGGAGGGAGATGGGCGGCCTCCAAACATGACTGGCCAAGATAGGTTGATGGGCAGATCAATCAATAGATATAGATCAGCGGTGACGAATGAGAGAGACACAGACAAACAGAGGTGCCCTTCTGCCCCTCCCTCCCCCCAGGGAGCCCCCCTGCCCGGACTCACTTCCCTGAGGGAGGGGATCAGCTCCTTCACGTCCACCTGGAGCATGTTGCCGATGAAAGGGAGCGGCGGGGGCCCCGGGGGGAGGCCGGCGAACCTCTTCTTGGCTGCGAAGTGGAGGAAGAGGAGGCACGAGGTGGCCATGGCTAGCAGGAGGCTGATGGGTCCCCCCAAATCCATCCAAGTGATGGCCGAGATCTCCATGGCTGCTGCGAGTCCAGCCGGCCAGCCAGCCAGCCAGGATATATATGGCCGGACACCTCTTGCGCCAGTCCCTGGCCGGCCGGAAGTTGGGCCACAGCCTGAGGCTGGGCTGATGTCAGCTGGGTGGGGCTGGGCTGAAGGAGGCCAATTCTGCTGAGGATCCAGGAACCTTTTGCGGGGTGGTCCTTTTAAAAGCCCCCTTTGAAGGTGTCCTTTTCCCTTCCCTTGCTTGTGGTATCCTGCAGCTCCAAGGCCGTTCCATGCCCGGCCCCCGCCCTTTCTGCTGCCTAAGAGCTTGCCAAGAAACACCCCCCCCCCCCCCCACAGAGCTCCAAGGCTGAAACGGAGCGGCCTTTGTGAGCCAGATTTCTCAAGCCATGTTTGCATACTGCTTTGCAGTTCCAGACAGATCTGGCTGGGGCTTCTCCATTGGCCAAAGATTAACCCAGCCACGTCCAGGACAGCCACTGAATGTGTGTCCACGCTCCTGTTGCACCCGGTGCTGGGTGCAAAGCCCCCCCCCACCCCCCGCTCTCCCCTTCTTGCTCCCTCGGAGCCTTTCCCTGGCAGGCTTTTCTCTCCAACAAAGACTGGGTGGAAAGGCCCTTTCTCCTGGATCATGGCCGGTCTGCCCATCCATAACTCTGCTCTGAAAGCGGGCTACGAAGACCAGATGGCTTGAGTCCCCAACTAGCCACTCCGCTTAACTGGTGGCCTTGGCAGCCCAGCCCAGCCCCAGCCGGCTACCTTACAAGACTCTCAACTCCTGCCAGAGGCCCAGAGAAACAGGCTGACCAAGCCAAGCTCGATTCTCTTCATCAGGGACTGAGCAGGATGAGGGGAAGGGGGCACCTGCTGCCCCAAAGGTGCTTTTCCGAAAGGCCCCTGGACTTCCTTGGTTTTCAGTCCTGACCAAACAACTGAAGAAGCTTCGTGGGTGAGAAGGAAAATGTTTTCAAGGAAAAACCTAAGAAAGCCCAGTGACAGCCATGACCTGGTGGATTGAGAATCTCCATCGACATGTGTGTGTGTGTGTGTAAAAGAATATAAGGAATGAGGAAGAGGAGGCTGCATCAGCCTTCGTTGGAATCCGCCCCCCCCCCCTTTTCCTGCTCTGGTCAATTCCCTGGTGCTCTCTGAGTGGGGTTATTTTCTTGCAGGCATTTTATGACCCAAACTTGGTAACATCCAGAGTGTTCAGCCTTTCACGCCTGAGCTACAAATATTCTCCTTTCTTGCTGCTCAATTCCAAGCAACTGGGCCGAAAAGGAATTTCTTCTGTACCGCAAGAACCCAGAGAAGGCTGGTTGCGCTCTGCCTGAAGCGGCTGTTCCTTCTGCGCAATGGAGCTGCTGGCCTTTCTCCAAGGGGGGGACAAGCCAGTGATTGTGGATCATGGGTGGTGGATATCTAGCAGTTGACTTAGTCCACTGTGGGCCACTACCTTATGGAACAATGTGGTTTATTTCTTTGGACTTCGGAAGCAATGTAATCGTAGAAGTTTTGTTTTGTTAATAATAGTTTAGGGTTTACCCTGCTGCATGAATTCAGCCTTCAGGTTGTAGTTTCCTTTTTAAAAAATAAAACCACCATATTCGTCTTAAGGAATCTTTCTAACCTTTTGCTCATAGCAGAATTTGCCAAGATTAAATAAAAAAAAAATCAGTTTTGTTCTACCAAATGACCCCTCAGTGAGCGAATCCTCCTCCTTGCAATTGGGCTAAATGACATGACGCCCCCAGTTGACTCGCCAAATCCAGGTGGGTGAAGTGTATCTCGTTAAAGGATAACTGGTGTGGAAAGCTTCTGTCAGTGACCTCTCCCAGGTTGCTTTGGACAAAGCCACCCAGGGGGATCTGCAGGACAGGCATTTCATGGTTGAACCTGCAGTCACTGAACGTAGCTGGAAGTCAGAGCTGGATGGATGTACGTATCACCTTTTCTTTCCCTCTTCTTCCCCGTTTTCCTGGCCAAAGGCTGCCGCTATGGCTGGTGTGTTCCTCTTCAGATGCCCAGGCTGTCTACCATAGAGCTGGTCCCTCATTCACCCTTGATGCTGCTGCTGCTGCTGCTGCTGCTGCTGCTGCTCTGGGTCTCCTTCACGTTGAGTGGGAGGAAGAAGGGCTTGAAAGGCCCCCTGCCCCCTGGGCCCACCCCACTCCCCATCCTGGGGAACTTTCTCCAGCTGGACCGGAAGAATCTGGTGCAGTCCCTGATGGAGGTGAGCTGGGTTTCCTTCCTTGAAAGCCAGCAGCTGCTTCTCGGGGTACACAGCGAGCTTGGTGGGCAATCTTGGAATGGCTGGCCTTTGACCAGGTGTCATGTGCACCTCGGGCATTTTTGCAGCGGGTGGAAGTAGATGGGATACCCAGATTGGCACCCCCTCTTCCCAAGAGAGAGGGAGGAGGACAAGTCAACACAATGGCCCTGTCTCGTTTATGCTGCTCCAGCCCTTGGGTGGAGTCCTCCTGGCCTGGAGATGAGGAAGCCCAGGGATCAGGGAAGTCACACAGAGTGGGAGGAGGCGTTGTGGTCAGGATACTCCACAACGATACACAGGCATGGCCCGAAATATCGATTTCCCTCCATTCTAACCCAAAGAATTACAAAATGTTGAAACTGATACAAGTAAATGGTACCCACCATTCTTTGTTCCACAGCCCAGAGTTGTGGATGAATGGCTTAAAATATTGCCATATGTCCTAAAGCCGGAAAGGAACTAGAATGCCAGGGACATAACCTTTCACAGCAAGCCTTTACGGGGCACTCAAGCACTTCCCCTCAGCCGCTCTGAAGAGGACGCTCAGCAGGCAATCTGTCCCACTGCTCCAGGCACCTTAGGCTGGGTGGGTCCCTTCAGCCCTTTCCATAGGGCATCTCCATGCTGGCTGGGGAATGCTGGGAGTTGAAGTCCACAAGTTTTAAAGTTGCCACGGTTGGAGTCCCTGTTCTGTGAATTCAGATCACCGCAGGTCCTTTGGGACCCATTCTTGGGTTTTCTTAGATGTACATTTTGAGGTCGTTATCCTGCTGGAAGGAGCACGTGGCTCATGTGGAGAGGGGCTGGTTGGAGACCGAGTGCTGCTGCATGGGGGGGGTTGAGCTCCTGTCACTAGCTCTTTGATGGGGACATGAAAGCAGCCCCCCAGACAATAGTGATGTCACTGGCTGATCCTTTCAACCCGGAAGCCCCTTACATGGGACGGGATGGGCGGGGGGATCCTGCTAGAGAACCCATGACCTACATCAGAGTTTTCTCACACAGAGTTACGTTTCGCTCCAGAATATTTTGGTGGCGTCCTTTTGAATCAGGTTCTTTTCTTTAAGAAACGTTATTTGTCAACATGCATGTTAGCAAATTCCAGTCTGGCAGATTTGGGGGATCTATTGGAAGCGGGGTCTCCTGGCCCCATCCCAAGAGACTTGGAGGGTGGGTGGAGATAAGGGGACAAGTTGTAGAGGAAGGAATCCTGGCAACTTATTCCAGCGAAAGAAAGAAGGACAACTATATCCTGAGCACTGAGGAATCTGTTGAAAATCTCCCTGGTTTTTATTCTGAATTCCCAACAGTTTGAGAAAAAAGAGATTGAATGAAGAGCCTGGCTATTGTTTCTTGCTTGATCCCTTCAGAAAAGAGATGGAAACGGCTCCCGGGAGGAGGAGGAGGAGGAGGAGGAGGAGGAGGAGGAGGAGGTGGTTCCACCTTCCCACCCCCAAAGACAACCCAGTGTCCACCTGTGGCGCCTGGCATGCGGGCAGGAACTGGGCTCTGCTGGGCTGCTTTTTCGGCTGGGGGTGAAGGGGCAGCAGCCCAGCAAACCTCCCTGAGCCAAAGGAGCCTTAGGGAGACGTGGGGCCATTGGAGACCCCTGGAGTGGGAGTGGGAGTGGGAGTGGGAGGGGGTGTCAAAGAAGTCCTTCCCCCCTGCTCCTGCGAGGTGGGCCCAGCCGTTAGCAGCTCTTTTCTTGGGCCAGCATTTCTCACCGGCAGCATCACTCTCATCTGGCGGGTTATGGCAACCCCCCCCTTCCCCCCCCCCCAGAAACAAGTTGGTCCTTCTGCCTCTTGGGAAAGGGGTTGGGAGAAACCCCGAGGGAAGAGAGGCAGGCCAGGAGGAGCCCAGCAGGCCTGTCTGGCAGCACCTCTGCCTCTTTCCCAGGCCCCACTTCCTCTGGCCCTCTCCCCTCCAACCTGGCTCGGTGCCCCCTCTCTCAGCCCTGGCCCTGGGGTGGCACTGGGTGCCAAGCAGAGTTGGCTATCCTGCCCGGAGGGGAGAGAGAGGCAGGGAGAATGAGTCAGAGCTGGGTGTCTTTCTTGGTCACAAAGGTTTCTTGCACCCCGCTGGAAACGTCCATCCACAATGGTTCCTCGGCGGGATTCTAAGCTCGACGCCTGCGAGTGGATCTCACCTTACACTCCCTTTCCTTTGCTGCAGGGCTTGCCCACTGCTGTTAGCCCAAAGCAACTCAAGCACCTTGTAGCCTAGGAGAGCCTTGAGCCCCAACTATTCGTGCAAGAGCCCAGGATTTCTGTAGAATGGATACTTTTGTAAAACAAAACACAAACCTGTCCCTAGGCATAATCTGGAATTCAAATTAGACTATTTGCAGGTCCAAATGTTCAGCATTTGATTCTGATTTTGGGGGAAAGCTGAATTGTTGTTGCTCAGCAACCGTTGTGCACCCCTTCAGCTGGGTCTGTGTGGGTCTGTGTGTGAAAGCTGGCCTCTTTCCGGCAGGGCCAAGCAGCCTGGTCAGCTTCCTGGGCTGGTGGGACTTGGGAGGCCGCCTGTCTCCTCGGACTGCTAAAGGCTCCCAATACAGATGGTGGGGGCTCCAAACCACTCCTGGTCTTTCTTGGCAGATGGGCAAGGAGTACGGGCCGGTGTTCACCGTCTTCCTGGGACTGCAGCGGGTTGTGGTCTTGTGTGGCTACCAAGCCGTGAAGGAGGCCTTGGTGGACCAGGCAGAGGAGTTCAGTGGGCGAGGGCAGCTGCCCGCCTTCTCCAAGGACTTCAACCACCATGGTGAGGGATGCTTTGGCTACAAGGCGGGCTTGCCTGGCGCTGGTGGGGGGGGGGTTCCTGAGAGAGCCCCCCTGACCTCCTGATCTCTTGGGCAGGGATTGTGTTTGCCAACGGGCAGCGCTGGCAGCAGCTCCGCCGCTTCTCCCTCACCACCTTGAGGAACTTTGGGATGGGCAAGCGGTCCATTGAAGAGCGGATCCAGGAGGAGGCCCAGTGCCTGGTGGAGGAGCTCCGGAAGGCCGAAGGTAGCCATTGGTGTGGAGCAGCAGCCCCTCCCTCGCCTCGGTTGGCCTGAGCCTTCCTCAAGGGGAGGTCCAAGAATCGCAGGTCAAAGCAGGCCAAGAAAGTCTTCCCCTGCCAATGCCTTTGGCTCGGGAGGTGGCCGGACTCCCAGCAGAGGAAGGTTTGGTTTTCTACCATGGGCAGCTACAAGCCTTGCGATCCAAAATTTTAGCAAAGGGTTCTCTGCCTGGTTGCTGGGTGGACTCCAGAGGCTCTCTGGTCCCATTTCTGGCCTTCCTGGACTTCCGGAAGGCCCGTTTTTCACCCTCCCCAATCCTCCACTCTGCCCTGCGCTTCCCTGCATCCAAAATGGGCCACGTGGGGGCTCCTGGGAGGGGAGGGGCGGGCAGGGCCAGCCAGGAGTGGGCTTGGGGGCTCTCCAAACTGCACACAATCTTAGCTAGGGGCTCTCCCGAACCCCTGCGAACCCCCAGAAGCTGATCCTGACTGACCCCAGAGGCCATGATGGCTAGTAGCCCTTCTCACTTTCCTCCTGCCTGAAGCTGCCATTCGCTGTAGAGTTGTCCAGATGCCACCAACAGGATGTGCCCTGCAAGCCCCCCCCCCTTCCGTGGGCCAGAATTGCCCACTGCTCCAGTGCTGTGGGCTCTCCTGGGCTCTGGAGCTGACCCTCCTCCCACCACACGCCACCCTGTTCCCTGCAATTGTTTGTCCTCCTGGAAGCGAGGAGTTTGGACTCTGGGGTCCACGTTCAATTACTACTGTCATCCTGATGGGTTGCTGCACAGCCGGCCGGAGGTTCAGGCTGGATGTTATTGATGCTGGGCAGGTGGGTGGGAAGGAGGGGAGGGGAGGCCCAGCAAGGTTCCCTCTCTTTTCTCCAGGGACGCCCTTTGACCCCACCTTCCTTCTCAGTCGCGCTGTCTCCAATGTCATCTGCTCCATTGTGTTTGGGAATCGGTTCGAGTACAGCGATGAAAAATTCCTCCGGCTGAACAAGCTGATAACGGAGCGTTTCTGCATTGCCAGCTCAACCGAAGCCGCGGTGAGGACAGCGGGAGAATGTCTTCACTTTGGCCTCCTTTCCCCTAATCAAACCATGAACTGAGGGGGCCCTTTTCTGCTGAGTGCCTGGCGTTTTGTCCCCCAAATATCTGAAAGTCCATCACCGAATTTGCTATTCTTGGGGGAGAGAAAAGCTCCCCGTGGCTCTCACCCCTCGGGGGGAAGAGGCCGAAAGTTCTTGTTCTGCATTCTGTACAGTGGTAGAGTTTGTCTTCTGTACAGATGCAGATAGACAAACAAAACGTATATACAAAGTTTTTATTTTTGGTTCATCAGGTATCCTCATAACTCACATTTGTGATGAGGTTCTTCTTTAATGACCAATCCTTTGCATATCTGTCTTGTAGTGTAGAAAGATAAAAAGGTCTCAACCCCATGATAATTGATGCATGGTATGGAATGGTGGTTTCAGGCAAGAGTGAGGGAGCCCCCCGCCCCAACCCAACAAGGGTCACTATAGTGACCAATCAGGATTACAGATTTGGTCCTGTGACATGGACTACATTTCCCAGGATACCTTAACTACATTTACCATGATGCAGTCCCTTAAGGGGACAGCTCACAATTCCTAAATAACTTTCCCAAATCCCATTAACTGTCTGGACAGCACAGTTTTCCTAATGTTGGTGGTCGTTCCTCCAGGTCCATCCCACCTGGGATGGGGGAGGGGAGAACAGAGGCTGAGCAAACTCTCAATTTGCTTCCAGGCTGGCTGGAATCGGCTGCATCCGACCTCTTAGGTGGACAACTGGACAAGAATGTTCCCTTCTGGGAGGCTGGTGGGGTTAGTCCAACTGGAACCTGCCTGCCTTCCTCCCCCCGCCCCCTGAATTTTCAGCCGTATTCCCAAAGTGGAGCCACGTCTTCAGAGACGTGCCTAGCAGAAGGATGCGCTCACATTGGCCCTTCACCACCTTTGATTAAGAAGTAGCAGCTGCTTGCACACAACTATCTAAGCTTGCCTCATTTTTAAAGTCTGTTTTGCCAGTTAACCACAGGCGTGTATTGCGCAATCTGCCCGATTGGTTCGTTTGTGTACCAAGTTAAGCCCAGTGCACCCCAAATCTGCGTTCAAGAAAAGCTAACCGTATCATTGTTTCACCCCTCACCCTCTGTCCAACTTGGGGTATTAGCTCTACAACATCTTTCCGGAGATCATGGAGAAGATCCCTGGAGCGCATCACGCAGGCCACAGGTGCTCTCAGCAGATCATCGGCTTCATAAAGGAGAGGATCCAGGTGCAGCAGGCCTCGCTCGATCCCTGCGCCCCCCAAAATTACATCGATTGCTTCTTGGCAAAGATGGAGAAGGTAGTGCTGCTTCTCAAGGAGTTTCACTTCTCATGTGGGTGGCATGAAGGGGCTTCCCCGAAGTTCGGCTGCCAGGCAAAGGAGCTGGTTGTGGGTCTTTGGGGCGCATCTGTTGGCCCCAGAGGCCTCCCCGCCTTTCTCCCCTTGCATGGAAGGAGGGGGAGTTATTCCCCGCTTTCTTTATGGACACCAGAGACAACTGAGGGCCTTCGGGGTCCAGGCAGAGCTCCAGCCCCAGAGTTTGGCTCAAGATTTAGGAAGAGACTTCCAAGTCCCCTTTCAACTCAGAGCTTGGCTGAGAGTAGGGGTCCACAACCCCCAGGCCGCAGCTCACTACTGGGCTGTGGAAGCAGCAGGCGAGCACACCTGTGCAGACAGCTGCGCTTGAGTACGCAGAGGGCCAGCATGCTGGGAAGCCCCATTTGTGTGAGTGATGGGTGCGGGTGCCCACCACTGGCACAAATAGAGCTGCGTGGGCGTGCCTGCACTCCCTCTTACACACACACACACACGCACACATGTATGCACACGCACACCCCTCTGGTCCCCAAAACCCGAAAGGTTATGGAAGTCTGGGTTAGAGAACTAAGGAAGAAAGCTTCAAATAGTCTGCCGCTCCTATTCAGCTGAAGGTGAATTGCACAGGGTCACAACTCAGGCAGGCTTCCCCTTCCCTGCACAGAGGAATGGGGACCTGCAGCTCCCAAATGTCTCCCCTCTGATTAGAAGCGTATTACTTCGAAAGCTGCATGGTGGGGGGGAAGGGGGGGCACTTCTCCTTCTATTGGCCATCAGGAGACACCATTTTGCTCTACTGGAGCTCATCCCTTGACCTCTTTCACAAGGAGGTTCACAAGCCTCCATGGCAGGGATGGGGAACCAACTCCCAGAATTCCTAAGCCAGCCATGTTGGTTCAGGAATTCTGGGAGTTGAAGTCCACCAGTCGTAAAAGGGCCGTGGTTCTCTGCTCTGTGGGGATTGAACTCCTGGACGCTTCCGATTCAGGTTTCTCAGCCTTGGCAACATTAAAGTGTGTGGACTGCAACTCTGAGGGTTCTGGGAGTTGAAGTTCATATGTGCTGGCGGAGGAAGTTGAGCCAAGGCCATTAGTCTCCCGTTCTTGTTGGTTCAAAACATTCCGCTAAGTCTGAAGCCGCGACTTGGATTAGCGGCGCATGTGACTCGGCTTCCAGACCAGTGGGCCTGCATGCCTGAGAACCTTCTCTGACGCCTAGGAGGTGAAGTTCACACCTGCTGAATTTGCCAAGGCTGAGACCCAGGGATGCACACGGCGCCTTAGCAAGCCTTGTTGTGGAAGAGACGCAGAGGGTATTCCCGGCAGAACAGGATTGGCCTGTAGGAGCCCCATAAAAGGAAGCTTGCAAAATGAGATGATAACGCAACACAACAACGCCCGTCGGTCTGCCTGAGAGCTTCGGAGGGAAGGCAGGCAGCACAAGCCCAGTCCTAAAGAGAACTTTCCACCCCGGGGTGCCCCGGTTTCCATCCCAGAGAGTCAGCCCAGGAACAACTGGCCCCGGGATGAATCGCCTTGGGAGGCTCCCCCTAGGAAAGGCCCCAGGGCCACGTCCTGCCCGAAGGAGGAAGGGCACGAAGCAGAACCCGAGAAAGGGCCACTGGCCACTCTCGTCTCCGCAGCTGCTGGGTCTTGGCAGGCCTATTCCGCTAGGAGGTTTTCACCTAGCCGCGCCTGGAAACGAAGGCGGCCTTTCCCTTACCTCCCGTGGCCTTTGACAGGAGAAGCACAACCCGGATTCTGAATTCTGCATGGAGAATTTGGTGATGGCCACGTTCAACCTCTTCTTTGCTGGCACAGAAACCATCAGCACTACCCTGAGATTCGGCTTCCTCATCCTGATGAAGCACCCACAGGTCCAAGGTCAGGGAGGAGGGAGCCCCCCAGCACTGCCAGGGGCCTCCTCAGGGGTGGGCTGGCCAGCGGGGGAGGGGGGGCTTCTTTTCTCAGTTGCCCATTTGGCATCATGGGAGCTTCTGGTCTGGGAAGGTGGACAGACCACAGCATTATTTGGGCCCTGGCTGCCGGCGCTGAGCGGCCCTTTCCCTGCCCAGCAGGACTGCGCCTCCTGAGGCTGGCTTGTGGCCCTCAGGGAGCTGTAGAAGTTAACCCCCCACGGCGTCTGTTCAACATGTAGGCTAGAAATGAATGAACTGCATGGGAACAGCCCCCTAAAGACCTTTGTCCGGGGAGTAGCCCTTGTTCCCGTTTTGACTTGGCCCATCCGGCCCGCAGGTCCTAAGCGCTGCTCTCCGCCCCCCCTTCCCCGCCAGCAGGGCGTCTCCTCCTTTGTTCTGCAGGCCCATTTCATGGCGAGCAGGCGGACCTGTCGCTGCTTTGCCTTCAGGGGCCCTTGCAAGAATCCACTGCAGGCCTGCACCCCCCAAGTCTGACCCCCGAGCCCCCCCGGCCATCTTTCCCCAGAAAAGCTCCACAAGGAGATCGACCGAGTGATCGGGGCTGGCCGCTGGCCCTCGGCTGACGACAGGCGGCAGATGCCCTACATGGAGGCGGTGCTGCACGAGATCCAGAGGTTCAGCGACATCCTGCCCATGAGCCTCCCGCATGCCCTCACTCGAGACACCCACTTCAGGGGATACGCCATCCCGAAGGTGAGGCTCGGGGGCAGGACAGGACTTGGAGCTCAGCCGCAGCAGCCAGGGTGCTTGTCCGGCACGCTCCCTTCCATTACGGCCTTCGGGGTCTGCCCTCGGTTGTGGGGTGGGGCATTTGTGCCAGAGCTGCCCCGCCCAGGCCAGTTCTGCATGCTCCGGGGCCAGCTGGCCTTGGCTAAGCTGTTACCCGAGGAGAGGGGAAAGGAGACGCCGATTCCTGAGGTTCAACCGAATGTGGTCCAATGGGATGGGCAGCAGAAGGTCCTGTGGGTGGAGGATGTGCCGAAACAGAGGTTCTGCCGTGGACGGGTGGTGGGCATCCCTTTTGGCTGCCCCCAAGCAAAGTTTCTCAGGCCCCCTGCCCTGGACAGCGCCACTGAAATGCCCCTCAATCCTAGCTTCTCCTCTGGCAATGCGGGCGCCTCATTCTGGGCTTCCCTCCTTACCTCTGTCTCCACTTTCCCTCCTGCTCTGCCTGCTTGGATGTTCCTGCCAGGGGACCTACGTCTACCCTCTACTCAGCACGGTGCACTACGATGCTGAGCATCACGCCAGCCCTGAGCAGTTCGAGCCCCGGAGATTCCTGGACAGTCACGGCCGTTTCAAGACGGCAGACGCCTTCATGCCTTTCTCCGCAGGTGTGTCCTGGGGCGGGTGTTCCCCTCCCCCCCTTCCCTTCCCTCCCATCCCTCTTTGTGCCACTCGCTCCTCTCCGAAGGTGGCTCAGCCTTAGAGGCCACGTGAGGAGCACAAGGCCCCTCAGCTGCCTCTGCCACCCACTTTTGCCCGCTCTTTGCAGGGAAGCGGCTGTGCCTCGGCGAGGGCCTGGCCCGCATGGAGCTTTTCCTCTTCCTCACCACCATCCTGCAGGCCTTCACTCTCACGTCACCGGTGCCCCTGGGTGAGGTCAGCATTGTGCCCGATGCCAGTGGTGTCAGCCGTGTGCCCATGAGATACCAGCTCTTGGTGGTACCACGCCAAGCTTGACCCGCACTGTTTCCCTTCTGTGGCACCCTCTTCAACTGCCCAGAGGGTGGGAGGCTGTGGTTCCCTCCAGCAGGGCAGTTTATGGGCAGCGAGTTCCTGCAACAAGCACCCACTGCTGTCAGTAGAAAAGCACCTCCGCAGTTCATGTCGGACTGCGAGCTCCTCCTGGGTGCTCCCTGAGCTGGGCGCTTCCCTCGTAGGCCCCAACTGGGCAACCCCTTCAGTGCCACTCTGGCACAGCCATGGAGCCTCTGCAAGGAAGCCAGCCACTCAGGGAGCACCCAGGACACCTTTTGGCTCCCTCGAGGGCACATGGCGCAGGAGCTGCTTCCCCCCACAAATCAGGAAGCTGCCTCTCTAACCCCGGGGGCATCCCTGGCGCTGGGGTGGCAGTGTTGGCCGCTTGAAGCCGAAAAGGCCCCGTTTCCAAAGGGCCAAACCAAGTCACTCTGTGCTTCTCCCACAGCCCCCAAACAAATAAACCAAATGCTTTGAATAAAATGTGCTCATTTCAGTAACACCAATTTCTGTTTTCACTTTGCCCGCATCAGAAGGGAGCCCAGCACACAGCAGCTGGCTCCGAGGATGCCCGTAAGGGGGCGGTGGCAGGAGGGGCAACTGCTGACTGCTGCCACCTTCGACCGCTGCCCCTACACGGCAGGGAAAGGCCTGTAATTTCGCTCTTTGGGGGCACAGCATGAAGTAAGAGCTTCAGAGGGGGAAGCAGAGCTTGGGGGGGAAGGCTGGGTGGGGGTGGAATGGGACCGGTATGTTTGGGGGGGGGGTCGCCTTGTCCCTGGCAGAGAGAGGCCAGGAGCTGCCTTGCATGCCAGCAGACATTTGGGGGGAGGGAGATCCACATCTGGGTCTAGGGAGGGTAGGCCGATGGGCAGAACACGGGCACTCCTGGAAATGCCCCCTGACTCCTTCCAGATGGGACCCCCTTCTTTCCACTCCCCCCCCCCAGGATAGGCGTGGCTGCCTGGGGGTCCCTGGGAGGGGGGCTCCTTCTGCTGCCCAGAGGCCTGAGCTCCTTTTCATGCAGCAGCATCCAATTCGGGGGAAAGCGTGACAGTCGTCAACCCAAGGAGACACATCCCCTGCTGGGGAGGCTTGTTCCTTGCCTCCGTTTCCCTCTTCGTGAATGTGCCACCCGCCTTGCAGGTTGACCCGGAAGCTCGGCGGGAAAGACGGCGGGAAAGGAAGGGGGGGGGGGGGGGGGCTGGGCAGTTGGCATTTAATCACAGAGGAACATGCCAGGAGACCTGGGGACTCCGATTCTGGGGAGGTTCTGGGGCCGATCAAAGCCAAACGGAAGCCAAGAGGAGCCGGATTGTTGCGCCTGGGCTTCAGGGGTTGCAAGGGAATCCTGGAATTTCAGCTGCTCTTTTGCCAGGTAGCCTGGAAGGGATTCTGCAAGGGGAACCTTTCCCGCATCAGGGTGGAAGAAGCAGGAATTCTGCTCAGGAAGGACGGGCCTGCTCTTGGCACCGGCTGGCACCGGCTGGCACCAGCCTCAAGCTCCAGCTCTGCCTGCTGGCACAGGACCCTTGAACTTCACCCACATCCATTTTAGGTTTGGGAAAACTGTTTATTTCAATATGGAAAAATCAACAGACGGAGGATATTGATGCAAAATGGAAACTCGCCTGAGTTGGCAACTTCAGAGGACAGAGACTGTCTGAGGAGGGGGAGACCTGAACACCAGCTATATTCCATGCCCCCCCCGAAGCCGGCCTGCCTGGAGCTGCTGCAGGAAAGGGCACAGACGCTGGGGAGAGGAGCAGGAGGCGGAACCCAACGCAGGGGAGGGGGTGCCCGTAGGTGCCAGGCTCTCTGGAGATGGAGAGGCAGCTGCGGTGCCCTCCGCAAGAGAGCCATGTCCTTAGTGGGCACAGGGGCAGATGTGGCAAAGGCGCCAGAGGGCCCCTCGCTCAGCGGGGGATGACAGAGAACTCATAGGCCTTTGGGATCGTGCCAAACCCCACCAACATTGGGGAGAGGTCGATGTCTTCAGGGGGCATAGCTGACTTGAAGTGGAAGTGCTGCAGGATGCTGGTGAGGAAGAGGAAGAGCTCAGCACGCGCCAGATGTTCTCCGAAGCAGTAGCGCTTTCCTGCAAAAGACCAGAGCAAGGAGGCCGGTGGGCAGGAGGGCCCCCTGGGTGCTGTCCCAGCCAATCTATGGGAATTGGATAGATGAATTAGGAATTGGGAGCTGTCCCCTTAAGGGAATGCTTCGTGGGAAATGTAGTTAAGGTATCCTGGGAAATGTAGTCTATGTCACATGACCACATCTGTAATCCTGATTGGTCACTAAATTGACCCTCGAGGGGTTGTGGGGAGTGTTCCTCACTTTTGCCTGAACTCCCTAACTCATGGCAGTTGTTTTCTATCGCTACGAGATGGGTTAGGAGATAACCATCTTTTACTACAAGGCAGATATGCAAAGGATTGGTCATTAAAGAAGAACTTCATCACAAATGGGAGTTATGAGGATACCTGATGAAGCAATCAATGTACTTTGTTATGGACATCTTGTTGAGTTTATCTATCTGCATCTGCACAGCTTAAAAATCCACTACTGTGCAGAAGACAGAAAAACCTGCCTGCCTCCCCAATGGGGCCCTTGAAGTGGCAACAGAGGACTTGGGGGCCCTTTCGGTGGTCTCAGCATCGCTTTTGAATTTGTGCTTTGTGGAGGAAACTCAAAACTGGGGCCAGGTTGTGTTTCTGGACCAGCCCTCTGCATTCCGGGGAGGGGCAGGGAGGAAACTGGGTGACCTTTGGGGGGAGGGTCTTCGAGAGGGTTGTCTGAGGTGACTTTCTGGCTTGAGAAATGGTGGGGTGGGGGCTCACCAGTGGAGAAGGGTATGAATGCCTCTTTCCTCTTGAACTGCCCCTTTTCATCCAGGAAGTGTTGGGGGTCAAACTTCTCCGGTCTTGCAAAATGTTTGGGGTCTCTCATCGCTGTTCCCAACATGGGGAAAACCTCGGTCCCCTGAGGGCAGGAAATAGCATCAATTATTCTGGCTGAGAATGATGGGAACTATGTTCCAACTTATGTGTAAGACTGATACCCTTGAGGACTACCTCAGAGTGGGTGCTGAAGCGTGGGATTAGAGATCTCCCCCCTTAATACCTTGGGAATTGTGTACCCTCTAAACTGGACATCTTGGGTGACACGCCGTGGCAGTGCCATGGGGAGAATGTCCCCAAATCTCTGCATCTCATGAATCACGGCTTCCGTGTAGGGCATCCGCAGCCTGTCCTCCATGCTGGGAGTCCGATTGACTCCAATGACACGGTCAATCTCCTCGTGGATCTTCTCTGGGGAGAGATCAGAAAGAGTAATAGAAAACTCCAGGCTCCACTCGCAGCTGGAGAAGTTCCCTGGGTGACTTCCTCCGGTCCTTCTCAGTCCCAGCCAAGACAACGAGGGAGGAGGAAGGGCTGCTCCTCCTGGACAAAAGGTGATGGGACTCCAACAAACCCCTCAACTGCTACCCGGGAGAAGGAGTTGGGCCTTGGAGTCTCCACTGTCCCAACCACCCTCCTGCTCTCTGGCTGGGGGGCGGGGGGGGGGTTATTTATCTGTTGCCATGGAAATTACCTTCCACCTCTGGGTACTTCAGCAGCATCAGGAACCCATAACGCAAAGTTGTGCTGACCGTTTCCGTCCCACCAAAGAAGATGTTAAGCGTGGTTGCCACCAGTTCCTCCATGGAGAAGAAAGAGTTGGGGTTGTTTTCTTCCTTGGTGAGAGAAAAGAGAAAGTTTTTATCAAGAGCTTTCGCAGCTCTCCTAATTTGCTGGTGTCGGAGCCTCTCTGGAAGTCTGCACAGCCCGAACCTTGATGAGGCTGACGTTGCTGTCCCACACTGGCTTTTGGTTGATTTGAACTGTGGTCCACACCTGGCTTACACACTTGTCTGCTTGTTTGGGGTCTCGTGGGGAAGAAATCTGGGGAAGTTCCTTTCAAAAGACCCCTGGAAGGAGAACCTCCCAAAGGGTTGTATCTGCTCCCATTCACGTGGTAAGTATTTCCGAGCCTGCATCTCTGTGGGCATTAATCAGGTCCCCCGCCCCCCGCCCCCCCCACCCCCCGTTCTACCTGCTGCATTTTCACCAGGAAGCAGTCAATGAAATCCCGTGGGGAGTTGGGGTCCAGGGTCTCCTGGTGGGCTTTTGCCTTCTTGGCCACAAATTCCTTCAGCTCACAAAACCTCTTGAAAGCCATTTGATGTGAGCCAGGGATGCGTTGCACAATTTCAAAGAAGATGTCCAAGAGCTGCGGGTTGGAGAAGGGAAGAAAGGAAGGATTTACTGGGAGAAGAAGTCCTTGGCAAGTGTAGCTGAGGTGGAACAAGGAGGGCGAGGCCTGGGAGGAGAGGTGATGGGTCCCAGGAGACCTGTGGGTGCCTGACCCTTCCTTCTTCCCCCAGGTGAGTTGCTTCTTCAGGTCTGCAGAAGGAGGTCCTCCTTCACCTGGGGGAGGAGAGAGCCAGCTGCTGCCCAACCGCCTTCACTGGGAGGGGAGTAGATGCCCCTTTAGGTCTATTTCAACCCCGGCATTCTATCTCATCCCACGTTGGGAAAAAGGTTCTGGAAGGGGTCATTTCCTGAGGGCACCCGAAGTAGGCAGATAAAAGGGGGCCTCCGTCGCTTCTCGTCAAGGACTTCAGCCCCAGTGCCTTGGGGTTCAGAACCCCGAATGAATGCTGATGCCTTCCCCAAGGAGAAGCAGCAGAATGGAGCAGGGGGCTGGGTACCTGTCCTCGGGCGGAGGAGCTGAAGCGAAAGATTTCATTCACTGCGGTCAGCAAAGAGAGGAACTCTTGGTCTTCGTAGTCAAAGCGGCTGCCAAAGGCAATGGAGCTGATGACGTTAGACACGGAGCGGCTCAGGAAGTAGGTGGGGTCAAAGGGGGCCCCTGGGGGGAGAGAGGCCCTTCTTGATGCTCCTGCAGGGACTGCAGGGTCTCTGCCTTGCCAGGCTCAACCCCTCCCCAAACGCTCCTGGCTTCACCTCTGCCTCCTGGGGAGCAGGGAGGCCGGAGGGGGGGGGACACACCCTTTGGCAGCTAGAGTCCTTGCCAGGGGCTCAAACAGAGCAGTAGATGCTGTGGACGCCACCCTGGGCCGAGGGGGGGGGGCTGGACCCTCGGAAATGGGATGAGTTCAGGGGTGCCCACCGCTGAAGCCAGCCGGGGAATGTGGGCCGCAGCCTTTGCTTTGCAGGCAAAGAGAACCCAGGGGACATGGACCCTGAGCCAGAGCCAGCTGCAAGCTGCTGTGCCAAGGGCTGGCCAGGCTGGGGAAGCCAGAGCAAATAGAAACTCTGCCCCATGAAGCAGCTAACGAAACACTCTGGGCGGACCTGAGGGTGGGCTGGCAGGTGGGGGCACTGCGGGAAGGGGAACCTTCCTTTGGTGATCTTGGTGCCTTTGACAAAGCTGGCTTGGATGGCATGAGCCAGGTTCCCCTTCTGGATCTTTGGGCTTCCTTGGCCAAGCCTGTGCCATTTTCTCCAGCCCCCCCCCCCCCGGGTTGCCCCCTGGCCCGCCTCTGGGGGCAACAGAAGTCCACCTGCCTTTTGTGCCCCTCAGGGCTTCCAGCAGGAAGTGGGCTTCCTCCAGGATCCGCTCTTCGATGGACCTCTTGCCCACCCCGAAATTGCGCAGGGTCGTGATGGAGAACCGTCGCAGGTGGATGGGTTTTTCCCCGTTGCTGAAGGCAACTCCTGCAGGGCAAAAGACAAGGGTGGGGAGGGGGCCAAAGGGGTGTTGGGACCCAGAAAGGCCTCCCAACAAGCAGAAGCGGTGCAGGCAGCAGAGCTGTAACTTCCCCCGCAGGTGCTGCCTAAGCAAAAGTCGCCTCTGAGTCATGGGGGGAGGCAGGTCTTGGAACACACCGTGGCCCTGGAAGATCCAGTCAAAACTGGCCTGCTGTCCCCGGTCCCGGAACTTGTTCCCCAGGTCCACCAGGGCTTCCTTAATGGCCTCGTAGCCGCACAGCACCACGATGCGCCGGGGGCCCAGCTGGAGTGTGTAGAGCGGCCCGTACTTTTCGCTCAGCTGCGGAGAACCCGGGAAAGAGAAGGAGAGAGAGGATTGGCCGGCAGAACCGAATTGGTCCTCACGAGCATCTTCCCCCAGCTGACCAGATGAGACCCTGGGCAGGAGCTGCTGGGCAGAGGGTCTCAGTGGGCGAATCCATGGGGTGGGGCTCCTGCTGTGGATTATCTTTATTCGACAGCAGGGTTCAACCCCTGGGACCCTCAGGGGCTGGGGAGGAGGGCTGTTTTGCCCCTCCCCAGGTGGATGTGATCATTCCTGGCTGACTCCTCAGGTGCCCTCTGGCTCAGAAGCACTTTCCACCCTCCCAGGGACCCCGCAGTTCTGCCCCCAACTTCCTGTCTGCCTGGTTGCTGTCAAGAAATCCAACAGGAAAGGAAGCTGTACTGGTATTAAAGCAGATTTAGCATATGTCCGGGTCTGCTGTACGTGGGCTGTAGCCTCTCTTTCACACAATAAGTATTTTAAAAATTCAGGGGGAGTTTGGGTGGGGGCCAGGGGGGCTTTTCTGAATAAGAGATTTACGAAAAGGAGGAAGCTTTCATGAGAGCTGCGTCAGGAAATCTCTGCTGGTCCAGAATCCACAGGAGACAGGGAGCGCCGCTTCCCCATTCGCACCTTCGGAGAAGAAGCCCGTTTGAGGGAAGGCAGCTGGGAAAAGCTGACGATGCCTTTTCTCCAGATGTGTGTGGGGGGGAGGCTCTCCCTGGTCTTTGGCCCCCCTGGACTAACCCGGCTCTCCTTCTAGAGCTCTCACGAAAGGACAGGGGCTCTTTGGCCAGCCAGGATTCCTGGCGATTCTGCAGTCAGGTCTCTGCCCTCTTCCCAGCAATAGTTGCAGCCCACCAGCTGCACCCAACGGGCTGTATGACGAGACCCTTAAGGAGCCAGACAAGGAAGGGGAGCTGGGTGTTTGAATGGAGAGGACACATCCCCCTCCGCCCCTCTTCCCTCCAGACCCCGGTCCAGTGCACAGAAGGAGACCGCCTCTGGCTGTCCTCAGGACGCAGGAGCCCTGGCAGGAAAGAGAACGGCAGGGGCTGGGTTGCTCTCCCTGGGGAATATCTACCTGCTGGGTGGCTAAGAGACCACCAGGACTCCACAGCACCTGACCAACCAACCAAGCAGTCCGATACCTCTTCCACTCTCCAAGGCCCTTTGGGGTCCTGGGGTCCTCCAGCCGGCTGGCCTTCAATACCGGGGAGTCCAAGGCCAGCAACGGCCACTTGAGCTGGTCAGGCTGAAGGCAGGAAGGAGCAGGCGGGGGTGGGGGGGAGGGGCAGAGGAGGCCTTACCTTGATGAGTGACTTGGGCAGGTTGTTTCGGTCTATCCAGAGCAGGTTCCCAATCAGGGGGAGGGGTCTGGGCCCAGGGGGCATCTTGCCCCTTCTGCGCATTCGCTGCCAGGAGGAGAGGGCCAGGAGGCCGGCCAGGCAGGCGGCCAGGAGGAGGGTCCCTGCTCCCAGGAGATCCATGGGGACAGGAGCTCCTGCACTTCCAAGTGTCAGCCTGGCTCTCCGAGGACCTAATGCAAGATCCGGACAGAAATGCAACGCCCACCTCACCCTCCAGGTTGTGCAACAGCCCAGGTCCCTTCCAGGCCAGGCAGGAGGGGGACGCCTGCCTAGGGCGCCTTTCTGCCAGTTCAGATTTCTTGTAGCTGGAGGCGGCTCAGGGGCCAAAAGGGAGGTGGGCGGGGGCTTCACTCAGGACCTGTATTAAACAATACTTTCATTCTTTAATTACCTCACTTTCCTTCTAAGGCAAGGCTGCACCAACTTCAGCCATCGCTTGTGTCAAAGACCCACTATAGTGACCGCCACAAAGTCATTTCATAGATGATGCAATTTACCATTCATTTATTTTGGGGGGTGGAGGCAGAAAAGCAGCCTTTGAAGTGGAGTTTCCTTCCCCCGTCCTGGGCCAAAACCAAAATGGAGGCTTCAGTCAAAGGGCTGGATTGAGCAAAGGCTCTGCAGAGCGAGCAGGAATATGGAGGGCAAGGAGCTTCCATTGAGTGCATGACTGGACTTTGGGTCAACTCCAAGGGGCTTTTCAAGAGGCTTCTCCGCAGAGGTCGTGGGATCTCCCTCCCTGGAGAGATTGGAGAGCCGTTCGCCTGAAATAGGACAGGGGCTCCTGCCTGAGCTGCGGCTTTGACCAGCTGACCTCCACAGCCCCTTTCAACTCCGTTGCCCAGTTGTCTTCCGGTTCTGAGGCCTGGCAGCCCAGCGGTCTGGGGGCGAGTGGCCAATTGCAGGGCAGGGGGCTGCTAGGCACTGTGGCCAAGGGCCATTAGGGCTGCCACTCATTCAGGGGAAGGAGAGGCTGGAGGTCCCCTGCTGGGAAGTGGGGGGGTGCACAGGCAAGGGGCAGGCGATGCCCGTGTCCCCCTGTGAATCTTTGCCCTCTGCAAGCAACCGGGGGGGGGGCAGGTAATGTGGCAAGGGGGAAAGGCCACTTTTTGGAAACCTCCCGGAGCACAAGGCGATTCTCCCAGAGAGGACTGGTCTGGAGCTGATCCAAAGCTTCTGCAATTCCTGTCCCCGGTCGCTGAACCATCCAAAGGTTGAGCAGGTGGCTCCTTGGGCCCACGTTGGTGAACCTTTTGCACGTCAGGGTTGACCAAATCACAGCCAGTGTGGATCCAAGCAACAGTTGCACACCCTGCCAATATTCCTCACCCCTCCTGGCAATTCTGGTAAAAGTTTCTGCATCACACCTACGTACAGTCAGGGGGATCCCTGCCTTACCTCTGACAGGACTCCCTCTGGGCCTTCCAGGCCCCCTTTGCAAAACCCCTTTGTGGGCCGTTTGCTGCTGCCCAGGTTGAGACCTTGGTGGGGCCCTTGAAGGGCAGCGGAGGGGCAGGAAAGGGAGTATAAGAAGGGGCAGGGTTGGCAACAGAGGAGGATTTCCTCCCTTGTGGGGTTGGGAAGCTTCCAGTAGGGATCCCAGCTTCCGGGTCTCTTCCAAGCCAGGCAGGAGAGTGACGCCTGCCTAGAGCGCCTTTCTGCCCTTTCTGAGAGTGATGTCCGTGGTCCCAGGCCTCTACTGTCCAGCTGGGCCCCCCTTCTGCTCAGCCCAGCCAGGGAGAGGTGAGCTGGGTGTGACCAATCCCCCAAAGAAGTAGAAGAGGAGCAGGTGGCAGCCACAGAAGGGATGCGGGAGGGTTTGCACCAGAGACCCAGAAGCTCTCAAGGTTGCAGGCTGCAGGCGGTCATCTCGGAGCCACGCTCTGGTGGCCCTGAATGCAAGGAGGGTGGAGGCCCCCTCCTGAGGGCAGCTGCAGGAGTCTCTGCCCCCACCTCCCTGCATTTATGGGCAAGGGAGTGACTCGGGTGAGGATTTTGAGGGCAGGAGGCACCAAAGGCTGTGATTCAGGGACCGTGAGCCTTCAGGGCAAGGAATGTTCATTGGCGAAGCTTTGGATCAACTCCAAGACCCTGTTGAAAGGTGTCAAAATGCCTTTCTTCCGAGGATTCGATTTTCCCGCTGGGAGAGCGCCGACGCAAGGATACGGACAACTGCTTGAAAGCTGGATCTTTTTATTTTTCAGGAAGGTGGTGGACAACGAGAAGTCTGCGTTCCTGGGCTAGCTGGCTTCTTATGGCAAGTCCCTGGTTTTTATACCCTTTTCTCCCTTTGTGAGTTGATTTCGTGTGAATGTTTGTATTTGTGCTTAATGTTTCAAATCCTGTTTGAGTTTGTCTTTATTCCTGCCGGAGGGCAAACTCCATGGGGTGCGGAAGGCAAACTCCACAGGGTGGTTGGATTGTATTAACGGTTTTTTTCTAATCTCTTTTAGCTTTACAATGGTTTTTTCATATTTGTTTTGTGGCAATCTCCCGTTTGTCTCTTTTTGTAATTTATATTTTTTGTGTCTTTTGTCTGTTTGTTTTGCATATTTGGTCTGTCCTGTGTTTGTAAGGGTTTCCTTTTCTTATTTGTCTAGTTTTCCTAATTACTTAGGCTTTTGTCTATAGGGATCCTTCAATACTTTTTGTTTGATCCCTTTTCCTATGTAAGTTTGTTTTATGGCTGGCCTGATGTTCCCCTTGGGCTTTTCCTCTTTGAGCGACCCTACTGTCTTCGTGAAGTTCCCTTTCCACAACCCAAACTGCAGGCAACTGGCAGCCCAGCAGCCCCAGAGGGAGCGTTACTCGGCCTCCGAAGGGAGAGTCAGTCGCTAAGGGCTGTGGCCAGTGGGAGTCGGGGTCTCACTCCCAACGCTTGGAAGGGGGGATGGGAAGAAACCAAGAGGTGCCCCATGGCCTCCACAAGCGGTGGGTGCAGTTGATGGGGCCCTCAGGCGAGGGGGACCCTCAAGGACACGGCTGCACTTCTCCCAGGCGGGGGTGGGCTGGAGCTGATCCCAAAGTCGTGCCATTCCTCCCCACCCCCCACCCCGACTGACCGCTGGACCGACCAAAGGCCTGAGTTCTTTGCACCTGCTGCAGCAAGGGTTGTCTCTCACACCCCGCAGTGCTGCTGCTGACGGGCCGTGGAAATGTCAGGACGCCCCCCCACCCGCCACCCCCGCCCTGCCTGGGACAAGGGAGAAGGGCTGGTCCAGCTAAGCCAGGTTCGGTTCATTCCCCTGTGGCTTTTCCGTGCGTTGAGCGTTCCCCTGTGGGGATCCCTCCCCTGGGCTGAAGGCGGCCAAGAGAGGCCGTGGGGTGGACCGATCGAAGCCCACTGTGTATACACAACATAGGTATCGTAATCCCTATAAAATTTAATCCATAATCTCTCGATAGTAAAACATGTTTTATTCTGTGTCTAAACTTTGTTCAGACTGCGTACAGGATCGTTCATAATAAGCATTTTCTTACTAAATCCATCATTTTGTCGTCTTTCTTCCTAAAACTTCTATGTCTTCACAATGTTCATACTAAAAGGAATATTCATAGGAAATTAAAAAAGGATTTCTGAAATAAATTCTGCTTAGGAAGATTGACTGCAGCAGCCTCTGTTTCTGCAATTTCACTCTCTTCTCCAAGTCTGAATATCTTGTTATTAAAATACAGATTTATTATTATTTTTTGCTTATTTCTCTAAACAGACTTTTAATTGCAGTTTTGATTTCTAAGCTGAGTCAATGCACGTGAGAAGAGGGCTGACTCTGTCTGGAATCACCGCTGCGTGTAAAGGCAGAGCATGTACAAACTTTCTGGGGCTGGGGGCTTGAGGCCCCCTCTCGGGGTGAAAGGGGGCAACTCACCGCAGCCAGCTTGCCATGGGACAATCCAACAAATACAAAAGTTATATTGATTCCAATGGAACCAGGTTCAGTAACAATAAAATAAAGTCAATCCGGAAATGTTAGCGTTACAGTAATTTTGACAAAAAATGTGGCCCCCAAGTTGGCTGCAGTGGGTTGTCCTTGGCCCTTGAAGGGACCGTGGGAGGCTGAAACAAAAGGCCCAAACAGGGACAGGGGGAAGACGTCACTTTTAGGGCCAGATTGTTCTGACTTCACTCTCCAGCCACTGAATTTAGCACCCTCCCCCCCAAATCTCTGTCCCATCCAGTCACCGCTTGAGGCTGGGAGAAGGTCTCCGGGAGGGGTGTGGGGGCAGAGAGAAGAGCCAAGGCCAGGCCTCCCAGCCGGAGGGCCAAGCAGGGCTGGACACACCCGGGGTGCTATGGGCTCCTCCGTGGACACCCTCCTTGTTGCTCCCGACTGGGACCTGGACAAGAACAGGGCATGCTCTGAGGAAGGGACCCAGCAGGCCCCAGAGCCTGGGATCTGCTTCAACGGGCCCAGCAGAAGGCAGGGAGCCCCGCTGGGTGGGGGCGCTTCCCCGGGTGGGGTGGGGGGGCTGTGGGGCTGGGACAGGAAGGGAGCTAGAGAGAGGCAGCGGACGCCCAGGGGCAGCGGGGCAGCATGCTCAGCTGGTAGACGGGGGGGATGTTCCCAAAGCCGCTCATTTTGGGGGAGACGTCGATGTCCTTGGGGTGCAGAGGCGACTTCAGCGAGAAGTTCTGCAGCAGGGTGGTGAAGTAGAGGAAGAGCTCCATCCGAGCCATGGCCTCCCCCAGGCAGACGCGCTTCCCTAGAGGAGAGGAGAGAAGCCGGACGACGACATCGGCCGGAGAGCCTGCCCCCAAGGGCTCCCTGCCCCACTTCTCCTGGCCGTGGGGGCCACCGTCTTTCCAAGGCCCGGCTTGCGGGGGGGGGGAGCTGCCTTGATGAGGGAGGAGGGGTTTGGCTGAAGGCAGTGAGGGGGCTTATGGGGGGGTGGTCAGGCCAAGGCCACCCCCTCACCATCCCCCATCTCGCTAGCCCAGAGAGCCAGTGGGGGGGCCAGGCCAGGGCTCAGAGGGACAGCCTGGAGCAGGCCCTGGGTTTTCAGGGGCCAGGCCACCCATAATCCCCCCTCCAAGACCCAGGCTGCCCCCCAAAGGGAGGGAGGAGCTCCAAAGAGAGGCTGATGGGCATCAGAGGCGGAGGTTTTTCCTTCCTTCCCAGCGGTAAAAGTGCAGCACCTCAAGTGGACAAAGCGATTCTTTGGGAAGGTCCCGTCTGGGCCTCGGGGCAGCTCCACTCTCCGCCTCACCTGTGCTGCCCTGGTCAGGTGCCCCAAAGACAGAGGAAAAGAGCAAACCACAGGCCCCAACCCTTACCAGAGGAAAACGGCACAAAAGCCTCGTTCTTCTTAAAACGGCCGTTCTCGTCCAGGAAGTGTCCGGGGTTGAAGTTCTCGGGGTCGCTGAAGTATTTGGGGTCCCTTAAGGCCGAGCCAAGCAAGGGGAAGACGTCCGTGCCCTGCGAAAACAGCCCCCCAAACTCAGAGTGAGGCTCCGTTCCCAGGGATGGACCATCGCTGCACACGCCCCCTTCCTCTCGGGGAGCCTCACCTTGGGCAGAAGGTAACCCCGGAACTGAGTGTCCCGGATCACCGTGTGGGGCACTCCCAGGGGGACGATGTCCGTCACCCTCTGGATCTCATGGACTACGGCATCTGTGTAGGGCATCTTCAGCCGGTCTTCCGTGGCAGGAAGGCGATTGGGGCCGATGACCTGCTCAATCTCCTGGTGGACCTTTTCTGCCGAAACATCCAGGACATCCTTTGGCAGGAGCCACGAGGGGCCCAGGCCTCTCCACCCAGCGGGGGCCACAGCCTCGGGCACCTTAGCCAGGAGGCAGGGCAGACCCGTGTGGGCCTCCAAAACTGAAGGGGTCCGGAGCAGCTCCCTCCCCTTCCCCCTTTTCCAAGCCCCACAGATTCACCCAAGGGACAGGCTCCCCCGCTTTCGTTGCATTGCCCCCCCCCGATGAAAATGGCCTCGCTCGCCCACCAACGTTCCTGCTCCAGCCCCAGAGACATTCCCGCTGGGGGGCCAGCAGCGGAGCTTAGCTCTGACCCTGGACTGGGGGGAAGGCTTGGACCTGATGCGGAGACACTTCCTGACGATGGTTTTCTTCTTTTAAGAAGCCACATGGGTTCCCTTAAGAGCCCCCCGGGCTCTCGACCCGGGGAGTGCCTGTGGCTGCAGGGGCCGGGCTACCTTCCCCACTTTGAACGGGTCTTCTGCAAGCTGCCCAGTGGGGTGAATGCCGGTGCCCCATTCAGACAACTGAGATTCCCACCTGGCGGGGAAGGAAGCTGCCTTCCCTTGGCCAAGTCCGTGCAAACAGCTCCAGAGTTTGGCCAGCCTACCTTCCACTTCTGGGTATTTCATCAAGAAAAGGAGGCCATATCTCAGGGTGGAGCTCACGGTTTCCGTCCCAGCAAAGAACAGGTTGAGGGTGGTCAGGACCAAATTCTTCAGGTTGAATTCAGTGGAAGGGTTTCCTTTTTCCTTCGAGGGAAGAAACGGCTCGTCTCAGCGGGGCGCGCATGGTGAGCAGAGGAACCGTGTAAGAAGCAACGTGAAAGCATTCAGAAAGTCCAGGTTTACAAGCCACTCCCTATTGACTAGCTGGGTATTCTGGAACCGAAATGCAACGGCTCCCCAAAACCACTGGGGGACCAGAGGGAAGCGGGCCGGGAAGACCAAGGTGGGGACATCCTGAGACGGCTTCCTGCTCCTTCATAGCCTCGTGGGATGGACTCCAGTGGGAATGTCCACCTATCGCCCACTCCGCCCCGTCTTCCAGTCCCTCAGATTCCCAGCCTCCTCTCTGGGGAGGAGAAACGCCTGGTGGTACCTTCTCCATCTGGATGAGGAAGCAATCGATGAAGTCGCGAGGATTGTTGGGATCCAGCGTCGCCTGGTTGGTTTCGACCTTCCCGGCAATGAAGTCCTTCAGGTCCTCCACCAGGTAGTAAATGCGGTTGTGCCTTCCCGGCAGGTACTGCATGATGCAGGAATACATGTCATAGAGCTGGAAGGCAAAGAAAAGAAACCGGGCGCGTTTGTGGGGCAAAATCGGAGCCCCGGAACTGAGCAGAGTCAAGGCAGGAAGGCGTCTGTTCCCAGTCCGTGGGGGAGAGCCCACCGGAGGACCCCCCTGCCCACCCCCACCCACCTGGAGAAGGGTGGCCCACTACCTGCGCCAGAGGGCTGCTCATCTCTATAAAACTTTCGTTGATCATTCGCAGCAGGGAGAGGAAGGTCTTGTCTTCGTAGTCAAAGCGGCTGCCGAAGACGACGGAGCTGATGACATTGGAGACCGTGCGGCTGAGGAAGAAGGTCGGGTCGAAGGGCTGGCCTGAGAGACGGGGGACAAAGGGCTGGCCTGAGGACGCAGCTTCCCCTGAACCGGACCCCGTTCAGGGGCGGCCTAGCCCGGTCGGCACCAACCTTTGGTTCTCCTGATTTCCTCCACCAGGCACTGGGCCTCCTCCTGGATCCGCTCCTCGATGGACCGCTTGCCCATCCCGAAGTTCCTCAAGGTGGTGAGGGAGAAGCGGCGGAGCTGCTGCCAGCGCTGCCCGTTGGCCAAGGCGACGCCTGGAGAGCAAGGGCAGCACCTTCAGCCCCCTCCCGGTCTGAAGCAGTGAGCCAGGCGGAAGACGGGGGGGGTTCCCCACGGGTCCCCCCAACCTCCCACCAGCTTCTCCTCCCGCTAGAAAACCCGGCCTCTCTTGAGGCTGCCCTGGGCCTGGTCTACTCACCAAACCCATTGAAGTTCCGGTCGATGGTGGCTATTTCCCCTCGGCCGCTGAATTCCTCAGCCTGGTCCACCAGAGCCTCCTTCACGGTGTCGTGTCCACACAGAACCACCACCCTCCGAGGGCCCAGGTAGACTGTGAACACGGGGCCATATTTCTCTTTCAACTGCGGGAAAGACCCAGGACAGGAGTTCCCCAAAGGCTTCCGCTCGGGGTCCTGGCAGCAGATTGAGGCCAGAGGCAGGGCGGGTTTTCTTTGAGGGATCGTCAGGTGAAACCCAGGTCTCCAATGGCCCTAAAGTGGATTTAGTTTGATCCACTCTCCATGAAGGATTCCAACGGCCTTGATGAGCTTTCAGTGGTTGGGAGCCTGCCAGTAATGGGGTAGCATCGCCTTTGAGCGCCGGAGCTCTGGTTGGCTGTGGTGCTGCCAAACCAGGCTGGGGAAAAGCTCTTCCCCCGTTTTTCACGGGCCCCTAGACAGACTTGAGGAACCGTGTGTGTGTGTGTGTGTGTGTGTGTGTGTGTGTGCTTAGAGTGTAGCAGAGCTTGGAAGGGCTCCTTCTGGGCCACCTGGAGCTTCTGCTCAGCCACCCCATGAGCTCGGATGCCTCCACCGGCCTTCCTCCCCGCACCAAAGAGGGGACCACTCACCTCCAGGAAGGACTTGAAGGGCGCGCTGGTTTTCACCTGCAGGATGTTTCCCAGGAAGGGCAGCGGGGTGGGGCCTGGGGGCAGCTTTCCTTCTTTGTGCATCCGCTTCCATGCAGAGACGAGCAGCAAGCAAGAGAAGCAGATGCCCAGGAAGACGCCCACGGTGCCCACGAGTTCCATGATGACCGGGCGGGAAATGCACCCGGGGCCTCCGGGCCCTGCTGCTATATATCTGCCTCTCCCGGCCCTGACACCTGGGAGCTGAGCAGGAAAAGGAGATTGGGTTTCAGAGCCACGTTTGCTGGGCACCTGGCAGGGAGGGGGGCAGAGCGGGGGCATCTCCCTGGGCAGGGAGGGCTTCTGGCCCAATGCGAGAGGAGCTACGCCCTCTTCCCACCATCACTGGGGCAGGAAGGCAGAAGCGCCACAAGCAGAGGTAGACGGGCCGGAGACCTTTTGGACCCCAATGGAGCAGGCAGATCCCCCTTTCAGAGGCTGGTGAGTTTGGCGGTGGAGAAACCACCCAGGAGAACCCTTCACCAAACTACGAGAGAGCAGAACCAGAGGGGATGCTGGGATTTTTGGGTCGGCAACATCCAGAGGAACAACATCTGGATGGCCGAATGGCACTTCCTGAAGGCCGGGGGGGTTGGAAGTGTCTTTTGGGGGACTCCTGGAGTTGACGCCTGTGGGCACCAGGTGGGTTGCAGACAATTTCCACGGTGACTACCAGAATCTTGACCCAGTGCATTACAAAATATGCAGCTTGCTTTGAGTTAGGAAAACACAAAAGGGGAACTTGGAAGTGCTGCCATGCAGGGCAGCCTTGAGTTTTGCTTCCCAGAAAGGCCAGGAGGGGAGGCTGCACGTGTGCCAGAGTTTTCTCTATTGACCTGCCCAGAAAAGCATCCAAGTCAGGAGGACACCCTGGCCGGCCAGCTTCCTTCTTGGCTAGAACCATATTTTTT